GCATATAATTAAGTAAAAAAGATGGTGAATTAACCCATTAATTAATTCAAGGTTATCTCTTTTAACCCTCAAGTAGTTAAACTATTAACATTAACCTACTAAATTTATAATTATAGCAGGAATAGTCCAAAACGCCCCTTAAAACATTTAAAGAAATCCGACCCCGCCTGGGATTACGCAGCCTGTGACGGCCCGTCGCGCCTGCGATGGTCCGTCCTGCTGCTCCGTCACAGAGTTCAAAGACTCAATTCTCTGAAGAGTCTGTGACGGTCCGTTACGCCTGTGACGGTCCGTCCTGCCATTCCGTTACGAAGTTCAGAGAGTCGATTTCAGTACCCATTTTTCAGAATTTCTAAGTGTTTTGAGACGAGACCCCCTCGACGGTTCGTCGTGCCTATGACGGTCCGTCGTGGGATCCGTCGTCTCAGCCAGTTTTCCAGAAATAACATCTGTTGCTCAAAACGACTAAACAGGTCGTTACACATACATACGTAGATTAACTATACAAAGATAACATCGATTTACAAACTTAGACTTCTCAAAGTTGCGAAATATTTCATGAATATCTATTAACTATTTTTATCAGTGTGAAAATTGAAGTAAAAAATAAAAGAAATGAACCAACTAGGATTTCAAATATATTATGACGAAGTATTATAGTTATGAATATCAATTTTGTTTTCAAAACAATTGATTTACTTATCAAAATGAACAAATTATTAATTTTTTTTAATAAAATTGAAAGTTTAATTTTACATAAATTTATAATTGTACTGAATAATTTTTAAATTTATAAAAATAAGTAAATAAAATGACAGAAACGTAATGCATGTATTTAGCGATATTTTTTAAGAAATATATGGTTTAATTAAAATATAATCTACATTTGAATGAATTGTGGGTAGTAAATTTCATGCATTTATGTATGAACATAAATGATCATATAATATATTATTTCTCTAAAATTTAAATTTAAAAGAAGTGAATGAAGTAAAAATAAAAATAAAAATGAGAGACGAGAGAGAGTTGGTCAGATGGTAAGCACTCTTCACTTCCAAACTCGAGGTTGTGAGTTTGATTCCCAAAGGAATCATAATGTGCGAGCTCTTGGCCAAGGGTTAGAAAAAATAGATCTACAAGATACATGGACAAATATGTATATCATAGGAAAATTAATCATGTTTAAATTATAAATTTATGCCTCGTTAAGAACAATATGATATTTTTATATATAAAATATAGTCAATAGTGACGAAATTAGAGTTTGTTCAACTATGAAACACATATAATTTTAGAGACAATTGATTTCGTCATTGATTGAAGTAAACCAATTAATGATTATATTATTTTGTTGGTAGGAATAACATTTTTAGTGACAAAGCATACTATTAACTATAAAAACAAGGGTACTTTTTACAACAAATAAATTTGTCACAAATGTTTAAGTATATAGGGACGATTTATCTTTTTGCAGTTAAAATAATACTTTTAGTGAAGAAGCACTAAATCGTCTATGTATACTTTTAAAGACACACATTTAGTGATGCCTAAATAACGAATTATTTTTTGTCTCACAAGATTTTTAGTGAGGAAATACGATTTATTAATGACGAAATACTTTGTTCTTGACAATCGAATTTATTGTAGCCGTTTTTGGGTAATTAATTCAATCCTCCTTTCCTTTTTAACTATTTTTATCAAAAATCTCCAAAATCAATTTCTCCTATAATTATGATAAGTCCATTGGATCTCTATAAATTCAACAAAAAAGATTAAAAAAATAAAATCAACTGACTTACACTATAAAGAGTTTTTATATTAAAGAATCTCTCCTGTCAAAGAGAAGAAAAAGTTTGTCAAAACTAAAAAAATTATAAAAAATGTGAAGAGCTTCAAGAATATTCTTTAAGATTTAGTTGTTATTCATATATCATTTTTTTGTGCTGAATGAAATAATTATATTTTTAATATGTTACTTATTTTGGGAGCATTTAGAAATTGTATAAGGAGAGATTTTGTTTGTGAATAATAATAATAATAATAATAATAATATGTAAAATTACTATTTCATTTATGAAACTTAAAACAGAGCAGTTATCTTAGAAAATTAAAATTTGGTACATTTCAATTCACATTATAACTGTATACAAGCTTGCAAAAGAAAAATACATGTAAATAAAATTTGATATATTGCTAATGATCGATATTCTTCAAACTAGATTCTAACAACTTCCTTTCACAAATAAGATCGTATATATCATACATGTTGCTCTCTCACATATTCTAACAAATAAAAAAATCAATCATCAAAATTACATACAAAGATAATAATTGTGGAGATAACACTAATAATGCTAAAATAAAAAACAATTAAAAAAGGGGAAAAAGAAGAAAAAAACTTCTTGGAAAAAGAGTTTCAAATGAAAAGAAGCAAAATAAAAAGAAGAAAAATTGAAAAGAAATTATGAATGAAAATACAAAATGTAAGGACAAAAGAAGAAAGAAAATTCTTGGAAAAAGAATTTCAAATAAAAAAAAGCAAAACAAAAAGAAAAAGATTAAAAGAAAATTATAAATGAAAAATACAGAATGTTGTGCATTGTATGACATATGCTGTAGTATTTATAGTTAGTAGTAGTAACATACAAATATGAAAAGATAGATAACTTTCATTAGAATAATTACAATTGAATGAAAAGATAGATAACTTCCATAGAATAATTACACTTGAACGACTTTAATTGCGACTATCTTCAATATTTAAGTGATTTTTTTTATATTTTAAAATTGAAAATGGTTAAAAAGTATAAAAAAGAAAAACATTTTTCTAGCCCTTAGAGGCATACCATACCAGCGATTCTAGATTCAGATTTATATAGATATATAGATTTTTTCACTTCGATCCTCGACCCCCCCCCCCCCCCCCCATACACACAATAAAATTGAGTTTGCTTTTAAAAAGTATTTTCAACTTAAAAATTTTATTTTTTTCACCTTTACCCTCGACCCCACCAGCCCCCCACCTCCACAAAAAATTTAGTTTGTTTTTAAAAATATTTTCGATTTCAAATATTATTTTTCACTCTAGTAAAAATAAAAATATTTCTCAAAAACATTTTTCATTCATAAATCAAAAACTAAAAAAAAATTCAAAAAATATTTTCCACTCACCAACCAAACATGAATAAGTCAAAACTTTACTTATTTTCAAAAAAAATGTTTTTATTTCCATGAAAAACATTTTCTTTCGTACCAAACAAACACTTAAACTCTTACTTCACTTATTTCTCATTTTAAAATAAACATTGATTTGGATTGTATATATGTATTTAAAACCAATTTAGATTTGTGCAAGTTGCCAAGCATTATCGATAGGAAAAACTAAGACATATTTTACCATTATATTTATTGTTATTGTCTATACTTTTAAGATATATATTATGTATTTTATCACTAATAAATAGTTTTTTAATGTATTTTAAACTTATATGCATGTATTTTTTTTTGGCTATCAGTTAAATAAAAACAGAGAGAGCAAGCGATATTGTGGAGGGAGGTGAGTGAGTTTCAATTCTATGTGTTTCCGATATATGTGAATCACAATAGATATATGTATTTGTATCATCTTAGAGTGATTCACTTGTATATGAGATACCAGATACATGGGAAACTAACGAGTGATATATGAGAGAGATGAATGAGATTTGTTATGTATCCCAGATACATTGAGACTCTATTTAGATTAAATGTATCTACAATAAATTACACTTAAATTTAATCCTATGTATCTGTGATACATGTATCTGAACGTATTTATAGGTACTAAATATAAAATGCGTAATATTGCAAACTAAAGTATGTCTAAGTAATTAACTCCTAAACTAGTAGTATTATATATCAGCCTTAATGATATCAATACAGTATATGATATTGATTTACACTTTGTTTGGATCATTGTTATTCATTGTTTCATAATGTATTATATTGAATTGTACGGTAGATGCAATGTTTGGCTATACTGTATTGTTTGTTATTGTTTAATAACATTTTAATTGTTTGTTTTGATCGTAACGTTCTATATTATAATTTATAAATTTACTAAAAATATTCTAATTATTCTAAGGTAGGAGGTTTGATTGATTTAAATAATTAAAATAAATGATAAAATAATATTTTGAAATATTATGTAAATATATAATTGAAAAAAAAATTAAGTAACAATGAGAACACACCAAATTGATTGTTCCATAAAATAGAAGTTTTTCATTGTTACGTAACAACAAAATTTAACAATACAATACAATACATTTTAATAACAATCAAAATAAACGTAGGTATAGTAACGATACAATACAATACAATAAATAAAAATGATCCAAACATAATTTTAATATCGATAAATCAAATTATCAGCCTTAAAGATACCAATATATAGTATTGATTTAGTTAAACGAAGTTCGTTTTTGCTTAGTCTCCGCTGCATCAATACCCCACCACATTTTCTAGAGTAAACTTTTGGACTCAAACCTATATTTTTGGATTGCCTCCTCAATTTGTCCAAACCTATATTTTGGATTGCCGCCTCATTTTTATAAATTGTAACCTTTTGCATGTCCATTAAGCTTTTTCGAGCCAACCTTATTTATCTTTTAGCTAGGGAACGCCGCTCTCATCTTCATTGGTGAATGTCCTCATTTAATTTGAGCTTCAACCTCCTAAATGAATCTACTTTTTAAGCCAAAAAAATCAAAAGTACCTGAAATTTATTTTTAATTTGAATTTATTTGATGTTTATTTTGACCTTGTCAAATATTTTAAATCTTTTTTATATTGACACTCCCAAAACTCAAAAATTGAGTTAAAATATGTTTTTGATTAATTCTAAAACCTAATCATTTTGATTTGTATTCACTAAAAAAATAATTGTTGGAAAATTTATGGTGCCATAAATTCGAGACACTGTTATTTGGTAACGTAAGAAAAACATAATATAATAGAAATAAGAAAATTATAAACTCAGATTACAACTAAAAAAGACTTGGAAGAACCTTCATTCAAGTTAAAAGACGTGACACAAGAAAAAGACGCAACGCATACATATATAAAGACATGAGACAGACTCGAACATAAGACCCCAAGTAGTAGACGATGGAGGCTGCGTTTATTATTAACACAAGGTAGTACTACTTATTTAACCCTTTGTCTTATACTTTGACTCGTCAATCTCTATGCCTTCACGTTGAGCACGCTCACCACCAGACTCATCGCCAGTGCTCAGACCTCCCTTACGTCCCATTTCCTGGTACCCTTCACTTCCCAACTGCTCCTTCCTCGTTTGCCCTCCTCGGCTCCTACCTAAAAAAACCATATACTATTCAAGTATAAATAATATAAAATGGTAATCAAATATAAATATATACCTTCAGCAAGGTGCTCTTGAGCTTCAAGACTTTTGCCACCAGTGCCACCAGGAACTACAGTTTCACCTTCCTTTGCCCTTCGATCAAGCTCAGACCTTTCTTCTTGATGTGACGCCATCTCTCTCTTTTTCTAAATAAAAACAAAGTAGCTGATGTTGTGTACATGGTGGGTTGCTAATTTATAGGGAGATAATGGGTGTTAAGCAATTGACACGTGGAGAGGTCGACGCAGCAGGAAGAATGACACGTGTCAACAAGGCTGATACTATGCACGCAACCTGTCATCCCACACGAATCACAAATGCATGCTACATCTGAATGAATATCCCACAGGTTTCCCGTACTCCTATTTTGTTTAAAAAATAATCATGTATATCCTAAAAAGAAATTATAATATTAGTAACTGTGAACATTATACTACTGCTAGAGAATCACCGAAAGAGCTAAACAAACTTATCGTTATTTTACTACTTTTATTTCCCTCTAATAGTTGTGGCGTACATCATTTTCTTTTTCGTCTCTATCTCCTCTCTCACTCATGAATACATTTACCCAAAAAAAAATAACACTCTAATAATTTCTATGATTAAAGAAGATGATCTAATTTAATCTTACACGGACTTTTAAAAAGTAAAATAATATATTTTTAATTTTAGATTTAAAGTTATATTAAATGTATCAAACGACTTTAAGCATATTCCGTGAAAAATTAAAATGAAATATATATTTATCGGAAGAAAGAATCATTTTTAAAACAAACAAACTAAGAATTATGATGAATCATTTTTTTTAAAAAAAATTAAAATTAAAATAAATAATTTTTATTTAGATTGTACCGTATTATTATACATTTTTCCAAAAGAACATTCATTCATTTCTTTCTTTTCCGTCGACCACGATGATTGAAACGACGCGAAAAATCCAAATCCGTAAAGGAGAAGGGCCGTGGGGGCATTTGGGAAAGTCGGACCGATCGGGTGTCTTCGTTTCAACCGACGGTACAGAAGAAGAACGAAACGAAGTGAGGCCGGGGGCAGGAAAAAGAGTTGAGGCGATCAAGCTCGACGATCGGGAGAAACAAAACGAAATCAGGATTTAATCGAAAAAGAAGCACGATTATAAATACCATGACCGATAACCATCGATAAAGAAAAATCTTTCTATTATCACTTCAAATTCCAAAAGTTTAATTAATTATATATCATATCATAAATTTAAATTCAAAATAATTTTAATAATATCGTATAAATCATAATAATTAACTATTTAAAATATAAATTCAAAATAATTTTAATAATATCGTATAAATCATAATAATTAACTATTTAAAATTTTTAAAATGGGTATAAAAACCACTATATTATTATTATTCTGTTTATAATTTTATGAATTTGATAAAATGGTATGAGGGAGTAATTATGACATACTTTTTTATATAGTTAGTCCATTCATGATTTTATTTTTTAGCGGAAGAAACTTAAAATAATTAATCTGAAACACATTTTAATTAATGTCAAATTTATTTCAATTTTGGTCAATTTTTACGTGGCTATTTGAAATTTGATAAATTGTGCAAAATTTGATTTCAATTTTTTTTTTAAAAAAATCTATTTTTGTGAAAGCAATTGGCTATTATATGGATGCAAATTTGGCTAATATGCCAAGAAAAAGTTGCACAATATAGCAAACATATGCTACATATTTATTGTATGTAATTAGACTTTTTCTTGCATTTTGTTGTTGTATTTGTATCAATCGTTTAGTTTATCTAGCTCTTTTTTTTTATATATAAGTGATTAAAAAAAATGAACATAAGTTATATAATAGTAAATATACAAGAGCTTTGAGTACACGTGATATTAAAGCTTTGAATACAAGTGATATAAACACGAATGTAAATAGTACAAGGATAAATGAATATAAATGATTTGAATACAAGTAATACAAGAGAGATTGAATACAAATGATACAAAAATGAATGAATACAAGTAATATATATAAGAACGAGAAGGTAAAAATATCGAATACAAACTTAAATGCACACAAAAACACAACAAACACACTCACATGATACCTCAAAAAATATGTAAATAGAGAAAGTGGTGACCAATAAAAAGAAAAATTAGAGAGGTGAAAATGCACGTATAAAGAAAAGAGAGGCGAATACACAAAATATAAAGAAAAGAGAGGTGAAAAATGGTTAGTGCGGGTTTTTAATGAGAGTGGTTGAGATTTTAGTGATTTTGAACCTTTTGAGTTGAGTTATATTGAAATGGTTAATCTTGATTAACATTTCGTGATTCGGTGATTTAGTCAGTTTCATTGAGTTTAGAACGTCAAGTTTGATTAAGTAGAGTATTTGGTTAAAATTCCAAGAACTTAGGTGGTGATTTGGGATTTTTGGCAAAAAGTTGGGTTTGACGCCTAAAGAAGTTTCGAGGGGATATTTTTGTAACAATTTTTTTTTAAAATTTGACGATTTTATTGAGTCCAAAATAATGCATGTCAAATTTAGAGTAGCATTTTTGTTTATTTCTATGGAATTTCGAACGAATCTCGAGGGTCCATTCAAAGACTTTGAAAATCAGCAAAATCTTTGACGGTGTAAGATCGGTTGGTCATTTTTTGAATTTTTTGTAAAATTACCATTTTGCCCTCCCAATTTTGATCTATAGTTATTTCTAATTGAATTTTGAATGTTGGTTTCGAACTTTGAGTAAAGAGTTGAGATTTTTGTAAGGTTTGATTTTGAAATACTAAATTTGTTTAAAATTTTTTTTTGGATATCAATTATAGTTTCGAGCGTTAAAATGAAATTTCGTCAATTCTATCTATTTCAAAATGTGGAAATAATATCTGCAAAAGTTGTCGATTTTAAATTTAGAATCTTTATGAGCATTTATAATCCCAAATAAAATTCTATAAAATTTAATCTTTAAATTAACTTCGATCAATATTCAGGATTGATTACTCAAATCAAAATTCAATAACACAAGGAAGTAAATATAAATAGCATAAGAGGGATTAATTATTAGTAGAGTAATGTGTGTTCAAAGAGGAGGAGGGAATGGGTAGGAGATGGGTTAAATAAACGGTTGGATCTTCTGTTGGAATTAGGTCACGTGATTTTGAGCTTGCCATATAAGCTTTTGTCAAAATTAAAAAAAGATATATTTCTATCCAAAAAAAAAATAATACAATAGTTAGAAAGGTTATATTAGGAATCAAAGTAGAACAAAAATTATATTTAAATTACTTTAAATAATAGTACAAGGTTTTTAAAATTGTGAGGCTTAGTTACCGTTAGGAGCGGCGTGAAGCTAGCTGTTACAAGTAATAATATTATATGAACCTTAGAAGAAGTGTTCAGCATTTAGCTTGTGTTGAAGATGACAGATTTGTTGAGCTGCTCATCACCTCAGCCTCACGACATTAATATTCCATTTTCCTCTCATCTTCAAACCAATACTGCTCAAAGAGACGTCACTTACAGGTACTTCCTCTTTTTCATTTTTCGATTCTAATTAGCGATTTTGGGATAACAAAAGTTTCCTGATTCAATTTTCTGCCAAAGAAAAAGAGAATAGTCGGGTACTATTGTGATTCTTATAACGATGTGTTTAATTTGTTGCAGTTGTGGATCCTGTGGATATGAATTGAACCTCAACTCTGGCAATCGCAATACGACAGTTATTGGGTCAAAATATGGAAAAACAATGAGGAGAGGGGTTCTCTCATTTTTATGCATTGATGAGAGCAGATTTACTCAGATAAGTAAACTTAGATGCTCACCCTATTTCAGGTCCAAAAACTCGTGGGGTTTCTTTCAACGACGCACTAAACTCTTGTGTCGAAAGTGCACAAATTATATTGGCATTTCTTATACAACTAGTAATAACAATGGTACAAGTGGTGCTGCACTACATATTGATGTCACCTCAGATGCTGCATTAGCAACACCTAATTGTTGGGATGGGCTGTCAGCTTGTACAACTAATTACGAAATAAAGATATGTGCATTAAGGCCATCTGTGAAGGAAGTCATTATGCACCAGTAAACTAAGCAAAATGCTGAAGGAACACACATGTTTGAAGAATCTGTTGTGAAGTCACCAAAAAGGAATGCTAATATCACAAGAAACAGAAGACAGAGTCACTCTGCTCAAGTTTTACCAAGATGGATAGTATACCCTTATTGCACTTCTTGTTCTTACTTATGTATGATGATTGTTAAAGCGTAGCTCAAAATGTGTTTTACCTTCATGTTTCGTTGAACTTGTCAAAGCAAATGTAAGCAAAAATCCTTTCATTGATTTGGATTGCTGCTACAAAAGATCAATTGTTGTCATCAGGGCTCTAGGAGGCACTAGCACAAATTGTATTTTGTGGACAAATCCAGGACTAATGCATTTCCAATTGGCCTAGTCTGGTCCAATTGCTCGACCTGTCCCATCTCGTCCCCTACCATGAACCGATTCATAACCTTGAGGTTGGACTGGATGGCTCATGACGTCAAATATTAACAAATTCATAAAAAAAGTTAATTGTTCATAAAGTAAAATATAATATGCAGATTGATTGTTTGGGCAAAACTCTGCTTTCTACCTGTACATCAAAATAGTTATGCTACGTAAATTCTCAGTTTGACTACAAAAACAAAGGTATATAATAAAGTGTTCATAAATCACAACCACTCGTAACTAATTTGTGAATATGAGTTTTCAAGAAATCTGCAGCGTAGAAATGGAGAAATTGCAACTCAACTAATTAATATATGATTAATTTGACTGGATTGTCTACATGACATAGTAAAAAAAATTTGGTCAATATTAAAAAACTTGCTTGTAGGAAAGAAAAATTATTATTCCAGTACTATAAAAAACTTGAGTCACACGTTTAGTTAGTGTAAAGAAGTAGCATACATTGGAAGATAATGAGTAGTAGAAATATTTTGATCATCAATTAAATTCCCCAGTATTTCCATGACGATTAAGAAAGTTACATCGTCTAGTACTTATCGTTTTGCTGATTACAAAATCATGTTATAAGAGAGAGTGCAAAGAGCAAATAATCACATTACATGTATGTACCGCCAGATGATGTTTAATGTAAATCCGTCATTGAAACAGAGTCTGAATTAATTAGAGAGGTTTAATTTATTTTCTTCTTTTCTGGTTGGGAATTGAAGAAGTTTATAGTATTTCTTGGTTTGAACTTTGAATATGCATATACTAATATGTATACTTCCTTAATTACTAAGGTCAAAGAAGTTAGCTTTAATTTTCTGAAACAAAGCTAACATAATGTGAAGTGAAAACTTAAGATGGTCACATCAAGAAGAGACTTATGAAACAAGCATTTGTGAAAATTGTTCACTAATGTATATAGTGGGTGCACCAACTTGAACATTAATCTACACTTTGCCCTATAATATAAGCTGACCTTCATGCTCAATCAAAACCTAATTTTCCAACCTCAAACAACCCTCCCTCCCTTCTTCTCCTGTGTATTTCCTCTGTCCCGATTTATATGACTCACTCCAAAAGAATGACAAATTTTATTTATTAACAATTTATTGTCCTTAATGAAAGCCACACAAGCATTTATGACTTATTTTGACACCACATGTTTCAAAAGCCCTTGTATACTCTGTTCGAAATCAAACTATATCACATAAATTGGGAAGGAGAGTAATATAATAAGCCTCAACTCTCAAATTTTTACTGCTTGCATGTGTTTTCCATTACTTGAACAGAACACAATGGATCATGCCTGCAATAGAATTACCAACACTTTGTGTTATTTTTTCTTCATCACCATTTTGCTCTTCGTAAATGCAAGTACTGCAGAAATACACTACCATGATTTTGTTGTATGTCTTTCTCGTCTACCTTAATCTCTTTATTTCTTTCTAATTAACATTTTGAGATTTTCATTATGATTGGAAGACGATGAGCTTGGTTACCTGAACTTTTACCTTGTTAGTGAAGGTTCGATTCCCCTCCCCCATTTCATTTTGTTCGATTCACCTTGTTTAAACTATGTTGTTATGGAACAGATTCAAGCAACACCAGTAAAGAGGCTGTGCAAGATCCATAACACTATAACAGTGAATGGACAATTCCCTGGACCAACCTTGCAAGTGAACAATGGTGATGCTTTAGTCATCAATGTAGTCAACAGAGCTCAATACAATGTAACCATTCACTGGTAGGTTCAGAATGCAAATGAACTTATCACATGTATTTAACTTCTATATAGTTCACCAGCAATATCAAAAATTCTTCGTACTGTCGTCTGTCAGTGTGCACGTGTGTGTATATATTTGTATTCAAGTCTATATACTGAATGCAACAATATCATACATACGAATGTGTTTTTCTGTGGCTGTTACAACTTTTTTGTATTTCCGAAGGCACGGAGTCAAGCAAATAAGAACAGCATGGGCAGATGGACCAGAATTTATAACACAATGTCCAATTAGACCAGGAGGGAGTTACACTTACCGCTTCACAATTCAAGGACAGGAAGGCACACTTTGGTGGCACGCGCACAGCTCATGGCTCAGGGCCACTGTTTACGGAGCTTTAATCATCTACCCAAAAGAAGGAGAATTCTACCCATTTTCTAAGCCCAAAAGAGAGACACCTATTCTGCTTGGTACTGAACTACTGATTCCTTCCCATTTTCAATTGAACACTTGAAAATAATTGAAAATGATACTTACTAGATGAGCAGTTTATATATCATTGAAGTAATGGATTGGGGTATTATGTGATTAGGTGAGTGGTGGGATGTAAATCCTATTGACGTTGTAAGACAAGCCACAAGAACAGGAGCAGCTCCTAAGGTATCAGATGCTTACACCATTAATGGTCAACCAGGTAATCTCTACAGGTGTTCAAGTAAAGGTAAGTTCCAATCTATGAAACATTCAAGATATGATTTGAGATATATAAATTGATAGTATAAAGATATTTCACACTATTCGTGTAGTATAAGCGACTTAACACTACTCACTAGCGAAAACATTTCACGCATTGTCAGTGCATAGAAATTAAAAACATGATACCTCCTAATATGCCATGTGTTACTAATGCTAAACATGGCATATACTTACTTATGTCACGGCCTTATAAGGGGTCGGTTGTTAAACTTATTACTAGTTCATCCAAACATTCATTAGTTTGGATGCAGACTAACAAGTTCAGCTATCATGTTTTCATATAATTCATCTTGTTGGATTCACCTTTATGCAGATACTACCGTAGTCATTGTGGACTCTGGTGAAACAAACCTCCTTCGAGTTATCAATGCTGCACTCAACCAGGCACTTTTCTTTGCTGTGGCAAACCACAAGCTAACAGTTGTTGCAGCAGACGCTTCGTATGTTCAACCCTTCACTACATCAGTGCTTATGCTAGGTCCTGGCCAGACTACTGATGTCCTAATCGATGGTAACCAGCCACCAGGCAGATACTACATAGCAGTACGAGCTTATGCAAGCGCTCAAGGACCTTTTGACAACACCACTTCCACGGCTATTCTTGAATACAAGAATACTCCTTGCTCTGTTCAGGGTATCAAGATCAATCCAATTTTCCCATCTTTACCGGCATTTAATGACACTGCCACTGCCACAACCTTCTCAACTAGTTTCAGAAGCCCAAGACAAGTGGACGTGCCAACTGAAATTGACGAAAATTTGCTCTTCACAGTTGGCCTAGGACTCAACAACTGTCCTAGAGGTGTGTTGGATTATAAGATAATCTCTTCATAAAGTAAATTATAATTTCCTTTAGGCACAAAGAGGATGAAAATGAAAATTAACCTATAAAGCACACTGCTAATGCTATAGTATCGCTACTACATCACTCATCGAGGGGTGTGGTGGGATGGATGAGATTTAACTTATTAGTACTATACTACTTAATATTCCAGAATGACTCAAAATTATATATTGGTTAACTAGAAAGATGAATGAATGGAGACTTGATCTACTGTGTAACATTTAACCTTTATTTCTAAACAGGTTCAAGCTCCAGGAGTTGTCAAGGTCCAAATGGAACTCGATTCACCGCCAGTATGAACAATATGTCTTTTGTGCTACCACCCAACTTTTCCATTCTGCAAGCACACTACCAAGGGATAGCTGGAGTTTTCTCAACTGATTTCCCAGCAGTTCCACCAGTGAAATTCGATTACACTGGTAATGTAAGTCGATCACTCTGGCAACCTGTTCGAGGAACTAAAGTGTACAAGCTAAAATATGGGGCAAGAGTGCAAGTTGTTTTACAAGGAACAAGCATCGTCACAGGTGAAAATCACCCGATCCATCTTCATGGATATGATTTTTACATTATCGCGGAGGGCTTTGGGAACTTTAATCCTCAAACTGATACAGCTAAATTCAACCTTGTTGATCCACCTATCCGAAACACAGCAAGTGTACCTGTCAATGGATGGTCAGTTATCAGATTTGTTGCTAACAATCCAGGTGAGTAGAAAAAACATTTTTTATATTCTTACAAAATAAGTTCTATGCAGAGTAATTGATAACCTGATAAAATGTTACTCCAACGAACATGCTATAATAGGTTAAATTACACTGATAGCGTAAAACATCCTTATACTATCCGCATGCATAACATTAATTCTTTTTTTATTGAGCTTTTGGACTTTTAACACCTTTTTTTTTGTTAAATAGGAGTCTGGTTAATGCATTGTCACCTGGATGTTCATATTACATGGGGTTTGGCCATGTCATTTCTGGTGGAAAATGGAGTTAGTGAATTGGAATCATTAGTAGAGCCTCCACTTGATTTGCCTGTTTGCTGACAAACACAATATGCACAAATGATTCAATGAAACATAACTTTACATAATTTTTTGATGATTGAATAAATATGAAATGACACAAAAATTCTTGCAATACATGTATATAGGTCATACATAAACATAGCCTTAACTTTGGGTATGCACAAGATAGTTAAATTTGTATAAAATTAAATAAATAGACACATTTGTCCTACATAGTAATTTTAATTGTGTGCGACATGTTGGATAGTTTTTTTTGCTTATTATCCTGATTCTTACGCTATAGCAACAACTTACATCACTAAAGCGATTTGAGGCCATCTGCTATAGCGAGATCGACAGATGATCTAGGACTCAACATCTGAAAATAGACCCTTTTTATCAATTTTGAGAGTTCAACTTACCCGACTTTGATTTTGGAAGGCCTTATATACATTAAAGTCTGGTCTACAAGTACACATCAGTCAAATCTCAAAACAAGACCCCTTTCAAATGGACCTAGACCTCACCTAGCCCAAATTCCATTTAAGACTATCTACCGAAGAATTTTTAAGTTACTATTTAAAAAGTTTTTTGACCTAATTTATTTTTCTATGGACCTACTCATAACGATCAGATCAGGTTGT